GCAACAATTGGCCAGAGAAAAGGTGTTGTTATTGGCTTACAGTATGGAATACATTTTGAGGTTGCTGTTAGTCTTCCTAAGAGTGTTCTTTTCCGCTAGTCCTAAAATTTTTCTGGTAATAATTGCGCTCGCCGCCACGGGATTTAGAACAGGGTCTGGTACATCTGGGGAGTCTTTTCCGGAGCCGGGCGCTGGGCCGAGAGCGGGGCTCCCTCCCCCCTCCGCTCCACCCGCGGCCGCGCTCCCTCGGCGCGGCACTCTCAGCCCCGGGGCGGAGGCGGGCGCCCCCGCGGGGAAACAAGCGCGGCGGCTCCTTCCACGCGCGCGTCGACCGCCTCAGTGTCACGGCCGTCGTCCCGGGGGTTCTGGAGCCCGCCGGCTTATGGCTGCCGACGCGGGCGTCGTGGGAGCCGCGGCCTTTCCCGGCGGGGGATGGAGGGAGCGGGCCTGTGGGTTTCTGCTGCACGTGGTTTCATCTCCCTCAGTGGGTCGCGCAGCCCTTCTGAGCACAGGTCTTCATCTTAGAACAGGTGCGAACGCCTGCAGCGGGCTGGATGATCTCGCTGTCGGCGTGATTACTCGGCTTGGTATACGCAGGAGGTATTGACCTCAACGTACAAAAAAATAAGCTTCCTGGTGTTATTTTCTCCACGTTGTGGAAGAACAGTTAGTTGTTGGTGTCCACGTTAGAGGTAGAAGGGAAGAGTGGACGAGGTGTGGCCATTTTGAGGTGACCTCCAGGATCCGTGTACGAATTCTGACTTGGGTTTTTTTCAGACGCTTAATCGTATGGGCTTTCTCCAAATTTCAGTGTTTGAAGATACTGTGGAGGAGCGTGTCATCAATGAAGAATATAAAATCTGGAAGAAGAATACACCATTTCTGTATGACCTGGTTATGACCCATGCTCTTCAGTGGCCCAGTCTTACCGTTCAGTGGCTTCCTGAAGTGACTAAGTAAGGGTTTCTGACAAGTTTTGTTTTGCTTAAATAAATGTCCTGAATTTCCTAGTTTTGGTGTTTTGTGCATGGAACATAAGTGTGTGATCACCCGTTGGATGAGGTGGCAGGTGGTTTTTATTTTCAAAACTTAAGTGATTATAAGGAGATGATTTCTGACGTGTGTGATTTTTAAAAGAGAAAGAATCTTCTGTTAATGGCGTTTAGAGCAGAAACTATGGTTGACATTTCTTGGCCTTAAATGTATTCCAGTATCTCTCTGGGCCTCAGACTGATGCATTTCTTTAAGTTTTTGTTCAAAAATAGCATATATACAGAAAAGTTAACAAATCACAATCATTGATTTGTGGAATTGATTGCTTGAGGAATTTTTACAGAGTGAACACACACATGATCTGCACCCAGGATGAATATATTTTAATTGGCAAAGGGAAAGTGAACTTGGCAACAATTGGCCAGAGAAAAGGTGTTGTTATTGGCTTATAGTATGGAATACATTTTGAGGTTGCTGTTAGTCTTCCTAAGAGTGTTCTTTTCCGCTAGTCCTAAAATTTTTCTGGTAATAATTGCTAGCATTTATTGAACATTTAGAACAGGGTCTGGTACATCTGGGGAGTCTTACATCCTATTCTTGGGCACAACTCTACTAACAGCATTCTGATGTGTATACTTTTTATCATCCTTGATTTATCAAAGAGGAAACTGGGGCTGAGAGGTTAAGTGCCATGCCCAGGATCGCACAGCTGGTAAGTGGTGGCTTGGACTTAACCAACCCAGACCTTTTGGCTCCAGAGTTGACACAGCTCCTGCATTGTACTACAGTTCTCATACGTTTGTACATTTTCTGGTAGGAGTTTGGCCATGTATTGTATGCTAAATTGGTGTATTTGTGTACATACATGATAAAATGAGGATTAACTCAAACCCTAATTTAGAAAGAGAATTTTATATAAAATTACTCTTATAATGGCCAGATTCTTCCTGGGCAAACACTGAGTTTCATACACATAAAGACTTCCATTGGGGTTCCCCAGAATCAATCAAAATAACAAATGTGCAGATGTGGGAAGAGCAGAAAGGAACTAAATGATAGAGACTTCTTAGCATTGACATTTATAATTACCTTTGAATGGATTTAAAAATAGAGCATTGTGTTGTACATTTGTCTCTTGGTCTTCCTGTTAAACAGATTTAAAATGTATTAACAAAATTTACCCTTTGGGGGTTTTTTTTTTTTGGAGACAAGAATCTTAAGCTGTTGCCTTGGGTGGAGTGATGTGACGTCACAGCTCACAGCACCCTCCAACTCTTGGGCTTAAGCGATTCTCTTGCCTCAGTTTCCCAAGTAGCTGGGACTACAGGTGCCTGCCCTGACGCCCGGCTTTTTTTTTTTTTTTTTTTTTTGCAGTTTTTGGCCAGGCGGGGCTTGAACCCATGATCACCTCCAGTATATGGGGCCAGTGCCCTATTCCTTTGAGCCACAGGCGCCACCCACCTGGCTATTTTTTGTTGCAGTTGTCATTGTTTTAGGTGGCCCTGGCTGAGCTCGAACCGCCAGCCTTGACTGGCGCCGTAACCACTGTGCTATGGGTGCCGAGCCTTGTTTTTTGTTTTTTTGAGACAGAGTCTCACTTTGTCGCCCTTGATAGAGTGCTATGGTAATGTGCTCACAGCAACCTCAAAACTCCTGGGCTTAAGCGACTCCCGAGTAGCTGGGACTATAGGTGCCCTCCACAATGCCTGGCTATTTGGTCTCATTCTTGCTCAAGTTCATCTGGAACCTGTGAGCCCAGGCAATACACCCGCCTCAGCATCCCAGCGTGTTGGGATTACAGGCATGAGCCACCGCACCGACCCACTTTGTCTCTTAGAAAAAAAAGAAAGAAATTGATTTTTTTAACTGGTAGATACTTCATATCTCTTGTAAATTTTCTTAAATATGTTGAGACTAATTTAGTCTCTAAAACTTTGTAATATTAAACATTGAGACAGTACAAAAATTTGCAGAGTGAAAAATAAGTCCCTCTTCCACATTACCTACTTTTTCCTCGTTCTCTACCCCAGAGCAGAGATAGTTACTGTTTTTAATTTCTCACCCATCCTGCCAAGTATGTAGAAGTGCATACCTATATCTTCATTTTTTTTTTTTTTGAGACAGAATCTAACTATGTCACCCTTGGTAGAGTGCCGTGGCATCAGCTCACAGCAACCTCTAACTCTTGGGCTTAAGTGATTCTCCTGCCTCAGCCTCCCAAGCAGCTGGGACTACACAGACACTGGCCACAACACCTGACTAATTTTCTATTGCAGTTGTCGTTGCTGTTTAGCTGGCCTGGGCAGGATTCTAACCTGCCAGCCTGGGAGTATGTGGCCGGCACCCTCCCCACTGAGCTGCAGGCACTGCCGTCTTCATCTTTTTTATGGTAGAAAATTCTTCTCTTGAATTTTTAAGTAAGAGTATATATTGGAGACTTTTTCCTATTAGCATGCTCAGATATGCTCGATCTTTTTAAGGATGTTACAGAATTTTATTTATGGATATAGTGTATAATTTTTATGTCACCAGGTCCTTACTAATGGATGTTTATGTTTTTGATATGCTGCTACAAACAGTACTGCTAAGAACAATCTTCTAATATGTTGTATGTTTGTGATGGTTGGGCGAATTTCCTAGCAGTGGAGTTACTGGGACAAAGGATCCTGGTACTGAAAATAGATAAGCTCTTTAGACTCTTCTATTATTTGTCCTTCTACAGCAGTGGCTCTCAACCTTCCTAATGCCACGACCCTTTAATACAGTTCCTCATGTTGTGGTGACCCCCAGCTATAAAATTATTTTCGTTGATTTTATGGTTGGGGGTCACGACAACATGAACTGTATTAAAGGGTTGTAGCATTAGGAAGGTTGAGAACCACTGTTCTACAGCCTGTAGGTTGTATCCAATATTGGAGGAAAAGAGTGTTCCATTCATTAGTTCAGGAAAGTAGTCTGTCTTAATGATGAAGATAAAAGGATTTTTAGTAAAAAGAAAAGTCTTTATATAGACAATCAAATTAGGGGGAAATAGAATAAATGAATTTGAATCGAGGAATTTTTAAGATCTTGCAGTCCATCTTGGGGCAGTGCTCCTTAGAAAGGGGCTATGATGAATTGACCTGTCTACCTATAACTTTTACCTGTTAGTCCTATTTTCCTGCTTAATTCCACAAAAATCAAGCCACTTTTTTCCTTTTATGTCAGTCCTAACATAACTCTATGGTGCCTCCTTTCTCTCAAGCATTGATTTTTTTTCATATTTTTTCAA